AAAACAAAAACGAAAAAGAAGTGTTGTCTTTCTGCGCTCCTTGCTATGCCGACTGCCTTTGATCCACAGCGGTCGATCATGTGCTTTGACGTTTTGTGTTAATGCTTTTGTTTTCCTAGCATTTCTTTGGTTTTAAACATAAAATGCTTGTTTTACGCACTTGTCTCAAATAAAATATGCAGACATCTTTTGGTCTATCAGTTGGCTTCGATTAGTTTTCCTAGCGTGTGCCTTTATATCGAATCCACCACCACGCCGCTCCCTCCCAGCCATGGCTCGCCAAGTTGCGTGTCGCCTCTCATTGGATCGAGGGGGCACCTTGCCGACGGACCGGCCGACCTTTTTTGCGTCGGGCGGGTTCTTTTCGGGCCGTTCACCCCTCCATTCAGACCTCGCACAAAAATACGAGCCCTGTGCCGAGGCGTCGTCTAGAGCGGGCATCCAGTTATTGACTTGTGTTTTTGCCACTCTCTTTTTTCTCTCTCTGCGCAGACTTGTTTTTGTCGCCGATAGGCCGCTTTGGCGCAACAATGTGGAAGGTTTGGGCGGGAAGAGGGCGAGGGGAGATTAGAGAGCAAAGGAGAGGAGGGGAGAAGGTCCTGAGGGAGAACAAAATATAAAATATTGAAGAGAAGTGGAAGAGCCTGCCTTGGATGTTTGAAGCAGGCTGATGGCCCATTCAAGGGCGATCGAAATTCTTTCAAGTTGTGGGGCAAACTCAAATACCTATGGATCTATCCGAACCTGTTGGGGTCAACTGGCAATAAGAAAGTTGTTGAGCTGGGGGGAGGGGGGTATCCGATGCAATGTCTAACTTAACCCGCGACCTGGTGGGGGGGGGGCTATTTTTTGCCCCCCTCCAGACTTTTCGATATATCTCCAGAACCGCTGCGCCGATCGTCACCAAACTTTCAGTACCCTCCCGGACATCAATTTTACACATTGTGACCAAAAATTTTTCCGAAGGCTATGATAGGTTGGCCGGAAATGACGTCAGAGTGACGTCATGTTCTGCCGTTTTCGACCCAAAAAAGGGTTTCGCGGGAAGAGCTGTCAGGCCTATAGCTTTGCAAATACAGAAAAATGATATAGACATAAAAGCTGTAGATTGGACAGGGCTACAAAACTGCCATCTCGGATTTTTGAAATTTTTGGATTTTGACCCCCAAAAATCAAAAAATAGATTTTTTTGAAATAATAATCGAAAAATCCAAAAAGTTTTTTGAATTTCGCAAAAACCGGAATATATGTGATAGTCCTTACCGCCTTACATCCACATACCAAATTTGAGATTGATACCTCTTTTTTTGGCGAAGTTATAGCGAAAAAACTGTTCAAAATTGATGACGTCAAATTTTCAAACTCAATTTTTAGCAATTCTAGACCCCGTAGCGCAAAACAAAGACCACCATTAGACTCCCCGTGACGAGCTGCATCGAATCAATACCCATTTTATGCAAAACTATCAACTTTAAAATTTGACCTTTTTTGGCCTGACCTTGACCTGACCTTGACCTGAACTTCACCAGAAAGTGACCTACGCCGTACCTGATAGTCTTATAACCAACACCATTGAGTTGGAAATGAAAAATTGGCCATAAAACATGCATCACACAACCTTAGTAAAGTTGGGCTCATGTGACCTGACCTGTGACCCTTGGTGACCTGACCTGTGACCTGACCGGTATTGCCAGTGACCTCTAATAGCAACATATCTACTAGGCAACTGACGCCCTACCGCTGATTCTCGACAAAATGCGTTTTCCTCGGTGTTATAGCGCATTCCCTAGAAGACCCGTGAACGGTGAAACATTTCATCTTTGACCTGACCTGTGACGTCATCGGTGACCCCGAGGTCAATGAAATTTGGTTTCCTTCGACAAATTTGATAGGCCTTTCGAACGCCGTTTGAATTTTTCGGATCCGTCCAGTAGTTTCGGAGATACGAGGGGGGGGGGGAAATAGCCCCCCCCCCCCCACCAGGTCGCGTTATAAACAGACCCCACCAGGGCGCGGGTTAAGTAAATGGGGCCTGGGGTAAAGATAACTAACATGGTAACAAAATAACTACAAAATAACTACAACGTAACCTTTACCACTCAATTCCAGGCATCGCGTGTATCTCTAGGATGGCTTGCGTGCAATGTGTTCATGGGATTTGAGCCATCAACACCCCACCGGGTCTCCAGTTCTGCTCAACTTGCCAAAGAAAGGAAAATAGATATAACGTTATCGTTAAATACCAGTTTTTACTTTATTAGAGTTACCTCCGTTAGAAATGTCGGATAGACTCCGTCACTTAAATAATTTATTCGTAAACGATGTGGGGGCAGCGCCCCCATGACCTCGAACTTCGGGGGGGGGGGGGGCAAGATGCGTCATGGTTGGGGTGCTGCTGCACGTGCGCACGTGCAGGGGCTGCTCCCAGATCTCGAGAATGGCTGCAGGCCGATTGCGTGCAAACTTGGTACACCATTAGAAACCGGGGAATATAGGGTGCCGGGCAAAAGTCAGTTTAGAACGCAGTCTGCACGTGCGCTCGTGCAGAAGGACGCCTTCACATTTCGAGAACGATAGACCAATTCGCCGAACTTGTCACACCGTTAGGGAACGGTTATTAGTGTGACCCGCATAAGTCAGTCGAGTGTACCACTTCACACTTTAGCACGTGCACCGCTCACCCTCTCGCTCGCTAGTCTGTCGCCCCAAAAGGCGTCTTACTGCTTATATGCATATCCAACAACTCATTTTTGTGCTGTATTAATAATATGCAGACTATGCTGCCATCTGAGAAGTGAAAGGGAGGCCACTTTTTTAACCCTCGCCCGCACATGGGGGGGGGGTGGTTGCCACCCCCCCAGGTAGTCTTTCTGCTCTGCACTCAACATTTTTAGCGCTAGAAGGCTGATTTTTCGTATAGCTGCTTCTCTATCCTTTCTTGATGTCCACTGAAAATTTCAAGTTTCTGTGATTTTTGGTTTCGGAGATATGACCTTGTTTTTCAGGTCATGTCATGACCCAAATGGCCAATTCTCAACATCTTGCGTTTGCCATGGGCCTTGCGAGCTTTTGACACCCTGATTTCGACCTTTTTGCCAGTATTACCTCCCACCTATCATGGAACATGTTGTTCGACGATGTACAGGGGTCAAGGTCAGGGTCAAGGTCAACCTAGGTCATCTAAGATAATTGCGTTTTAGGCAAGCTGAATTTACTTTTTTTGAATTTTTTTTTGACTGCATTTTTGGTAAAAGCTTCTCAGAGCATGATTTCATGTAACATGGACCCAAAAACAATCGGTGCACACATCAGTATACACACAGACACACACACACATACAAACACATATAATTGACCTTGACCCAACTTGACCTGAAATGACCTCAGCCGCAAAATTCTGGTCGGGTAGTGTGACAAAGAGGTTCTAGCTGGCCTGGCACCAGAAAACAGCATCGTCATCGGTATTTGATAAGCAGCGCACTTGATATCCAACGGTGACCCAAAACAGCAACATTTTTTAGTTTGACCTGACCTGGAAGGTCAATAACTGACCTGAGAAGGTAAAACTGGGTATCATTGGATTCGTCTCTTCCCAAAGAATCTTTTTGGTCTTACCGCTAAGCTCTATCTCCAACAGGGACGAAATGGCGCGGGGGGGGGTGGCAACCCCCCCCCATGTGCGTTCTAGGATGGGAAAATGGCATGTGCGGGCGAGGGTTAAAGTAAAACAGCAATACTAACAGTTGATCGACTCAAGGGCTGAATTTGTATCGACCTGTTATAACCAAGAACTTTGTCCAAAGGCCCAAACTAATGTAAATAAATCATATATTGGAATAGTCCGCTATTTTTCGCTGTCATTCCGTCTCTGCAACCATGAAAGAGTCAAGTTTTACGTAAGTCCGTCAGGTGTATTTATGTAATTTGATACTTGATGATTGTAATCGAAGTTGTATGAATTTGGTGACAAATTAAGTTACATAAATGTCTGCAGGGAACCAGGATCATGTATCTGGTACGGGCAGTACGGCTTCCTTGTTTCGATTGTGTCTGCCACGAAAGAAAGAGGACCTAACCTCGAGACATGCCCCCGTGGTCTATCGCCACGTGGCCAATGACGGCTAAAGGACAGGGATTGGCGGTGTCTTTCAAATACGCTAAAAATGTAAATATCATGCATAGACCGTTTCCTCATAGTACGACCCTTCGCTGTAATTAGGTAGTTATCTTTTTTAACACAGCACGAAATTTGCTGAGAGAGTGACTTGGAAAACTGGTCACCGCACAGTGTTTTGAAGAGATGGATAGTAGGTAGCCGTTTTCACGACGGGCTATCCGGCGAGTGCACCTGATTGAACTTGAACCTGATTTGACCAAATCTGTACCTAATTTCTTTTACAGCAAATATCTTTATTTTATGAATTCATTTCAGTGGTTTAATCGATGATACTCTCTGATAATATGACAAAGCAGGCATATAAGCAAATAGTGCAGCCCTAGCTGATAGCTACTAAGAGACACACTGAACCTGATTTGACCAAATCTGCACCTGTCTGCACCAGATGTGCACCAAATGTATACCAGATGGCCGTCGTGAAAACGGCTAGTATTTGCAAAATGTGTTTGGATACCGACGCAGTGCTGTAGTGCTAAACGCCGTGAGAGACTTATTGATAGGTCAGTTATAATAGACAGGTCGAACATCGCTGTGGGGTGGTAAATACAGGGAAATACAAAATGCTAGTTGGGAAAATGGGCGTCACGTAGCGATATTGTGATCAAGTAAAACGACTGTGAAATGCAATGTGCGCTAACCAGTTTTCCAATGAACTCAGCTAATAAGTCTCGTGCAGTGTTCAACTAGACGTTTGCAATGAAAAGCGAACTTAAAAAAAAACACGATTCAAGTAACATTTCGCTGAAAGGCTCGCGCTTACGTCCGATGAACATCTTCATTGTATTCGTTTCCCATCAAAATTCACATTATGTAGATCCATGCGTGCCAAAGAAGGTGCTTTATTGTTGTACTTCGACATAGCTTGCATAACGGTTATCATAACATGTGCGTTACACAGAAATCGTTTCAGTTAACACAGAAATACTTGCAGCGTACATATACCTACTCTCATAAAAACAAGCCGGTAAAAAATTCTCAAGTCTCTTTAATGTACTTTACAACGCTGTACATTGCAAATTGATATTGAAATGTGACTTAAGATGAGGTGTGCAGTGCATGTTACCTACTGAAGAATGCACGAATGCATGAAGATTGAAGAGTGCATGTTACTTACTGCCTTGGTATTTGCTACTTGCTAGTGTAGTAACTCTCCCACACCAATTATATTATGGCACCGTTAGAAGTGATAAACGAATTAGACAGTTTTCGGTAATTAAATCGTTTGAGTGCGCCATTTGACTATAGATCTTTTTGTTCTATTGTACATTCACCAGCAGATATAATATCAGTATATCAGTATATCAGTATATTAGTATATCTTACTTTTCTGTCAGCTGGGTTGCTACCCACACATATTAAATTCTAACTAAAGTATTAGCTTAACTTTAGATAAAACAGTACTGTTGCAATATAAATAAGTCCTACCGCGATACAGCTATGGTCGCTTTCTGAGTATTCCTTATACATTGCACTATATTTGCAATTTTACTACCTTCACCTCGAGCGCCTCGCCGGCACTGAATCGCTTACAGAACATGTTGCAATAAATCGAATATACATATTTGCATTTTACCACATGTGCTGCGTTACTATGTCCTGTCCTTACACCCTTACATTATACAAAAACGTCAGGCAACAACAAAATTAAACACAAACGATGACAACATAACTAACACACCAGGAGATATCTTCACAAAACAGAAACAAAACAAGTAAGCATACTAAAATACTGTCACATCGAAAGCGATTCTCGAGGCCTACTTATTTTTCTTCTCCTTCTCGACGTAATCAAAGTTGGGGAAGTGCTCGAAGCCGACCGGGTGGCTCCTGAAGAACTCCCTTCCTGGGTCCTGGTACTGCCGGGTCATGGCCGAGCCACGGTTCAGGCTGGCGTATGTTTCCGGGCGGTCATACCTCGTCTCCGAACCGTCCCCGTACCCGGGAGCCGATCGGCCGTTCGTGGGGCGAGTGTCGCTATGGAGGTACCCCCGGGGCATGCCCAGGTCATCTGTCAGAGAGGGCCTCGAGTGGGCGGATACCTCGTAGGAGCGAGTGGCGTCAGGGTTGGCGTAGGTGTGAGTTTCGTACGGGGCTGGTTCGTCGTTTAGAGGTGCCATGTCTTGCGCTCGCTCGCGCTCTTTGACGCTGTTGTCACGATCGTCCGCCTGATGACGCTGGTATCGGTCTTTGTTGTAGGTGGCAGCACCATCTGCGCCGTAGCTGCGCTGAGATGGCTCGGGTTCCTGACTGTCAGTGCTTCTGGAGTTCTCCGCACCGCGGCGCTGCTGTCGCTGAGCTGGATACGAGTCGACTGCGGGGTAAGTGTGTCCGCTGGGGTTTCTTGAATAGTACTGGGGAGGGCCGTCTCGGTAGTCGGAATATCTGGAACGTATAGGTGGAAAACGTACCGTGGTGTTAGCTTTGTAATTTGTTGTGCACCCTGGCGATCAGTCCACTCATGTTACAAAATGAATGATTAAATGAACATAAATGGTTATTAGTCATCTATCTATGAATAAATCAATGAATGAGTAAACGGTTAGTTAGTTGAATAAATTAGTGAAACATCCTACTGTCCTATAGCTCACCTGTTGGGTGTGTCCTCAGGAGCTCTGGACGGCCGCCGCTGTGAGGGGTAGTCCACATACTCATAATCCTGGCCACTTCCCTGATAGTCATAGTCATAGTCAGGGACGTTGGGGTCTTCATACTCAGGCCTCTCGGAATCATCGTACTCATATTCAGCAGGCTCGTCATCTTGACGGTCTTCCTGCAGCCTCTCGACAAACTTGTCATCTATCGGCGCTTTTCCGAACCTGTAGTCAAAGAGATCGCCGATGGTGGCGCTGTGGTCGCCGTCTCGGTAACCGGCGTCGTGCTCCTCAGTGTAATCCTGAGATGGTGGAGGGGGCGCGGGCCGGCGCTGGCCAGTGCCGTACCTGTCGTAACCGCCACCGGAGGACTGGGAGGACTCCACCTTACGGTGGTACTCGGGTACAACTCCCCGCACGTGGTACCCGCCTCCGCTGCGACGCTGTGCTGGACGAGCGTCCGAGTGGTACTGTGGTACTGTGGTAGTGGTACTGTGGTACTTTGGTACTTCCTGGAGGTACTTTGGTGTATCTTCGCCGTACTGTGCTACCCCAGCGCGGTACTGTGGCTCCTCAGAGCGGTACTGCGGTGTGTCCTCATGGTACTGCAGCTCACCCTGGGTATCAGTCCTCGGCCCGACCTCGTGGTTATGCTCATCGTCACTTAGAAACCTCGCCAGGGCCCGACCGGTGTACGAGTCATCCGCTACAGGCTGATGTTCGGTGGTGTTCGAGTTATCCTCAGGACCGTGATAGTGGCCCGCGTGACGCTTAGACCGGGATCGGACACGACCGGCATAAGTATCACGGAACCGACCCGACTTGAACGCTCCCGGGGTCTGATAGCGGGCCTTATCCTGCTCCTCGTCGGGAGTTAGGAAGTCGTCTTCTCCTGAGAAATGTTCGTCTGGATCCTGAGAGTTTCTCCCGCCTTGGGAGCCCGAATGATAATCGTCACGTTCCGAGTCGATTTCGATCCCGTCAAAGTCCGGCTCGTAGTCAAAGTTATAGGTGTCGCCACCGTCTCGCTTGTGCTTGTCGCCGGGAGTGGAGGAGTGTTTGTCCTGTTTGGGGTCGCCGTAGGAGGAGGACTCGCTGTAGCTCACGTGCTGGTTGTTGGGGTCCTTACTGTTGCTGGCGTAGGCGCAGTCCTCCGTCTGTGGATAGATTGGGGAAGGAAGTGATGGGGGGCTCAACCATGAGAGCAACGGCTATTGGGGAGCACAAAGCTGAATGACTTGATCATCGATGAACGAATAAGTAATACAGGGACATTTAAATTATTACCGATGAATATTCGTTAGTGTGACGGAAAGTATGAATCAATGAACTCGGTAAGTGGCGAGACAAGTCTAGTTTGACCTGCATTGGTTTTGCAAGCGTCAAACGATTATGCATGCATAGTAATTGCATGTGGCAAATGCTTGGTTTTAGGGCATTTCTATTCGATGCATGGAACGAAATTCGACATTTTGTCGATTAAGCTATTAAAAACTTGATGTAAAACACGAAGCAACGCTGGAGGAAGCGATTAATCCGAAATTTATGCCTACACCGAGCAGAAATTCATCGAGGAATCCTCTCCGCCCGTCACATCCCTCACTCACCTGGAATCCCTTGGCGTCGGTGCACTGGTAGCAGGTCATGCCGTCTCTGGCCACCTCCTTGCAGTTGGCGTCCGTCTTCTTCTGTGCCAGCGTGTCCAGCATGGCTGACACGGTTCGTCGGGAGTCAGCGTAGCCGCGGTGAGCTTCGTCCCGGATCTCCCCTGGGAGAAATGAGACGTCATTGGTTAGTTGATTGGGGTTAATATTTGTAGGCTTTATATGATCACGACACATTCGATCATGTTTCTGTCATTTGCTGAGGGTGTGGACTGTGGTGGGTGATGGGTATAAATGACTTATCAAGTCAAAGAATAAGTTGAGCGGCAACATGGTTATTTTTGACACACATTCTTGATTCGTATGTCATTGGAGTCTGGAGGCAGGGGCTAAAGATCACTGACCTTTTTTCATTCTACCACGCGTGATCTCGAGAGTTCACGTTCTAATGAGAGCCATTTTGTGTCACGGTGCGCTGCCCTAAACTGTCTGAGGAGCAATGATTGGCGATTTTTCCGGTCTCCTCGGTGTCTGGAGGCGCGGGAACCCCGAGAGTAGAGCACTTTCATTGGACACGGATCAGGAGGCTCACTGACGGTATATGGCGTGTCATGACGAGAGCCGTCAGTGCCAGATTTACCTCAGCGCCGGGGGACGTGGATGGTGGTCTGCAGACTGATGGCGGACTACGTGACTGCGTGAAACGTTCTTGGGTTATTCTAACGTCAAACGGCAGGAAACGTTTTTGTTCAATGGGCCGACAAAACTGCGAGAGTTGACAAATAAAAAGCGCTTGAAAATATTGCTGACGCTAAATCTTACATGGTACGAGTTGCGCTCAGCGACAGATCTGCAAGCATGATCCAAAGTAGGATTTGAGGCAGACGTGTCTCCACTCAGTTATGGGTTCATGTTTATAAATAATAAGCATTTGCAGCTCGAAGCGTTGCGTATTGGAAGCGAGCCATGGATTCCAATGGGAGGAGCAAGAAGCGATTTGTGCGCGTGAAAGCTGCTGTGTTCCAGCCCTAAAATAATGATACCTAGTTTGAAATAAGTGTAAGTGTCCCAATATACGGGTCGAAACTATATGCACGTGACTGCACGGTTAACCGACCTCCCATCCGACATTTTCGGTTAATAATTCACCCCGTACGTCTCATAGACCGTATCAAAACGGCTGTGCTGGACTCATTGTTCCATGGCGCATCGCCCCCAGGACGGGCAGCGGTTACGGGCTGTGCAGATTGAAGCCACACTTGCGGCAAATTTGAACAACTGCGGTGGTGCCCAAGCCGGAACACTGCACAGTTTGAAACGCTTGAGTACCACAGAGGTCACAGTGATACCCTGAAGTGGCTATGCTCAGGCGAACAGCCGAAAAACAAGGCAGCAAACAGGATTATCTAGCTCATGCCGGACTCTGGCTGAATCGGTGCTAATTACTGATGTAGATCTCCGTCTCAGGGGTGGGCTGAGCCGGCGCTCAGGCCCCGGGAGAGAGCTGGGATCTGGTCTGAACGCTGAATTACCGAGCTGTGTAGGCAGGCTCAATGTAAATGAACTGAGGCCAGGGATCTCGGCGGAACTAGCGGTACTGGCGGTTCTAGGATCAGCTGAGGGTCTGTTACCGAGGGCCAGAACAAAGAACAGACCACGGGCTTCAGCGATGATGAACGACTATAAGAAACCGAGTGGCGTTGAAAGCTGAAGGAAAATACGTACACTTAAATCTCTCAGCTGTTTGGGACCATCAGTACTAACAGGAACATGTGCTACATACTCACCGTCAATGTCCCTGATGCGTTCATCTCCGCTCGCCCCGTAGTAGTCTCTGGTCGGGTCGTCCTTGTATCTCCCAGACTGGTAACCGGGGTCGTAGAACTTGCTCTTGTTTCTGCTGCCGCCGGTGCCGCGCCTGACGCCGTCACCATGGTAACCACTGTCCTCGTCGTCATGGTAACGGTTGTTGGCGTCTCGGTAGTCGCCGTGATCTCCGTAGTCGTAGTCGTCAGCGGGGTAGTCTTCGTAGTCATAGTGATAGTCGTCCTGGCGTCCCTGGCTCCTTCTGCAGAAATGAATAATCAGCTTTAAACCGCTCTGTGGAGCAATCATATGTAAATAATGTGGCAGAAAATATCTCGTCTTAGACGGCTTTATACTTGCTGAAGGACAATCTCGGCCTAAAAATAGCGACTTAATCTCTATCCAGGCACCATAATGGGGTAAAAGACAGGTTTTTGATACTCATATCCCATCTGCCCACAAGAGGCTTTTTCCATGCAAAGCATTGAACGATATGAACACGATCGTTATGCTGGCGCTAAAGCAGCTCATTCGCTAGCAATTCGTCGTCATTCTGGCTGCGTTGGAAAGTGTGGGTAGCTCACGCTCAGTGACGGTAAATTACACGCGCGTTGTCAGACAGCGTGTCCGCGATCGCGCCGTCACTGGCCCGGGTAAAAACCCAGCAACTCAGAGCAGTCACTAGTCACGAACAGCTCAGCAACTCAGAGCCGTCACCAGTCACGAACAGCTCAGCAACTCAGAACAGTCACCAGTCACAAACAGCTCAGCAACTCAGAGCAGTCACCACTCACCAGTCACACGCAGCTCCGCAACTCAGCAGCTCAGAAGTATCACTGACATCTGGGTTCTGAGTTGCAGCAGTCCAAACAAAAATACACAGTGAAGTACCAAGCATAGAACAACTGCCATGTGTCGTTGTGCAAACAAATAAATATTTAAAAAAGACGTATTTTCGACTTACGGTGGGCCGTCGCGATAGTCCCTGTCGTACTCGCGCCGGGCGCCGTAGTCGTTGTCGTAACCCGGGCCGTACCCGGCCGTGCGCCGCTGTTCTCCGTCGTACCGAGGACGTTCTCGGTCATTGTCGTCGTAATAGTAGTCGTAGTCAGACTCAACCCTCGGACTGAAAATGGGTTGAATAAAAGTAAATATTATTTGCAAGTCAGGTGATTGATCTTGGGTCTCATTTGTGCAAACAAGTTTCAAGACAGGGTGAGGGTGCTTGATGAATTGTTATGTCGTAAAAAACTGCCAACCTTACCTGAAAATGAGCATAGTCTTGAAAAGGTGAACGACGAATAATCCAGCTAAATTTTATGTCGGTGAGATTGCATCTACCTATTCCTTCAGTGCTGAAATATAGGCTGGCTGAAACACCACAATAAGTTAACTGGTAAATGCTTGCAAATATCATTTCTAGTCTTTCGACCGCCCATTCATTCGGTGCCCTTACGCGTGTCGAGGTTTGTTGCGGCTGAAGGTGGTGGGACGTCTTGTTCCTCTCGTTCCGTACAGATCGTGCTCCTGATGACCCTTCAGACGTTCATCTACCAGCTCAGGAGGCACGTCACTCTCGTGCGAGTGTTGGATGTTCTCTCGAGATGCGTACCTGTCGGAAGCAGGCATGGGTAAGTTATATCGGGAATTAGGGATCCATTGTCATGTCATGGCATATGGCATATGTCTTGCGCAATATGCAACAAAACTGTGCATATTGTCATATAAACGGAACCTGGAAGAATGCATGAAGACTAAGGCCGGGGGGATCCAGGGCGTCGCAAGTCCATTTGCGACACGTCGCAAGTTACGACACATGTCCCGTCGCAAGTTGTGTCGTAGCGAAAAAGGAGGGATGTTGAGGAAAGAGGGGTTTGTCGGAGGATACGACAGAACGTAGCTGCGACAAGGTTTAAATACCCGCTTTACTCGAGAATTTAAAAGGCTACACGATCAGCTGATCCCGTAGTAAGCGTCAGTAAGGTCGAAAACTCTATCAAGCATAAAGGAACATTCGCCCTTCTGGTTTGCGAGCTTATGAGACAGCCAGTTCAAGCATGTTCTCTGATTCTGAAGCTTTGTCTCAACTGGGTGACTTGTGGTTGCTAACGCTCACGTGAGTTGCCATGAATTTTGGGATCGATCACAGGAGATTCGTGGCGCTATAGGGCATCTAGAAGCGATGCTTTAGAAGAAATGAGTTAAGAGAGTATGAGGTCACAGAGAGTTAGTAGAGTTGGAGATTGAGGTCACAATTGGATGTTACAGAGGTCATCTGGGACACTTCAGGTCACGGAGGTCAACTTGGGGTCATCACAGAGCTCAATTGGAGACCACGGAAGTAATCTGAGACACGTCAGGTCACAGAAGGCAACTTGGGGGCAGGTCAGGTTACAGAGGTCAACTCGGGGTCATCACAGAGCTCAATATGGGGTCATCTGGGACACGCCAGGTCACAGAGGTCAGCTTGAGGTCATCAAAGAGCTCAATTGGAGGTCACGGAGGTCATCTGGGACACGTCAAGTCACAGAGGTCAACTTGGGGTCATCACAGAGCCCAATTGAAGGTCATGGCGGTTATCTGGGGCACATCAGGTCAGATAGGTCAGCTTGGAGTCATCAGAGGGGTCACTTAGAGGTTACAGAGGTCATATGGGACACGTCAGGTCACAGAGGTCAACTTGAGATCATCACAGAGCTCAATTGGAGGTCACGGAGGTCATCTGGGACACGTCAGGTTATAGAGGTCAACTTGGGGTCATCACAGAGCTCAATTGGAGGTCATCTGGGACACGTCAGGTCACAGAGGTCAACTTGGGGTCACCACAGAGCTCTATTGGAGATCACGCAGGTCATCTGTGACACGTCAGGCTACAGAGGTCTACTTGGGGTCATCACAGAGCTCAATTGAAGGTCATCTGGGACACATCAGGTCACAGAGGTCAGCTTGGAGTCATCAGAGAGCTCAATTGGAGGTCACGGAGGTCATCTGGGACACTTCAGGTAACAGAGGTCAACTTGGGGTCATCACAGAGCTCTATTGGAGGTCATGGGGGTCATCAAGGTACACGTCAGGTCACAGAGGTCAACTTGGGGTCATCACAGAGCTCTATTGGAGGTCACGGAGGTCATCTGGGACACGTCAGGCAACTTGGGGTCATCACAAAGCTCAATTGGAGGTCATCTGGGACACGTCAGGTCACAGAGGTCAACTTGGGGTCATCACAGAGATCAATTCGAGGTCATGGGGGTCATCTGGGACACATCGTTTTTAGAATTTGGAGAATCTTTTGGGGGATGCCCCTCGCAACGTCCAAGACCGCCTTTCTGGATTCGCCAGTAGTTGCTGGAATGGTGTTAGGCTACTTCATATCCATGAATACCCCAATAAATGTGAATATAACATATTATGCACCATGTTCAACACTCTCGCTGGCGCGGATTGAGGCCTCATAGACGAACCGTTGGTTCTTGCTTAATAACTCGCGTTAGCGGCAACGGATTGCAACGAAATTTTCAGGATCTCAAGTTTCAACAATTTTCCACGTACCATGCAAATTTCGTGACCATGACCCCAATGACCTGTGACCTGTGACCTCTCCCTCAAGGCCATATCAACTTGCGACACAACTTACGACTGCTATTTCAAATTCGTAAGTTGTGTCGTAAATCAGGCACTTTGCGATAGACTTTACTTCTTAAGTAACGCTACTCATCAATAGATCCCTCCAAAAACGACTTACTACACAACTTGCGACACGTCGCAGCTGCGACGAGGCTTACGACGCTCTGGATCCCCCCAGCCTAAGCATTACAGATAATGTAATAGAGAGCTGAAAGGATGCATGGTTTGTTATAGTCAGGGATTCCTCAGAGACTCATGCACAAGTTGATGGTATGTTCACCTTGTGATAGCTGACTGACTTCATGTGATATGAAGAAAAAAATTATGACGATGCGCAAACAAATCTGCCTACAGCCCAGAGCACGGGTTGTCCTCATTTTCAATGGGTGCTTACCTAAAGTAAGGGTCGTTCTCGTCTTCTCTGGGCAGATATCTCTGGTAGGGGTCCTGCTGGGTCTTGTAGTTGCGGTAGCCGTGGCGACCCTTGTAGTTGCTGTAGTAAGGCTGGTAGTCGGACTGACGGCGAGAGCTTGCCAGCGCCAGGTCTGCGGGAGAGCTTGATGAACCTGTGCTATTCAGCAGCGATGAACTGATGTTGGTATTGGAGTTTTGGACTTGTGGTAAGGCTGTTGAATCTGCTTGAGCCGAAGGCGTAATAGACGTTACTGTATTGGACTTAAGCTGCTCCGTTGATTTGGCGCTGAGACTTGACGATACTTCATGCTTGCTGGAAGGGCTCACTTTGGCAGCCTCGTCTGACAGGCTGCGACGACTGATGTGGTGCTTTGGCGGAAGGATGGGAAGGAAGCCGTGCTCCAGCACCCCAGGCTTGAATCCGGGGCTGACCTGGATATCGTTTCTCCTGACCTCACCGATAGTCGACGCCTGGGTGATGGGGTCAAACAGAGCAAGATCACTGGCAGAACTTGGTTTTGACTGGGTGCCGAAATTGAGAGTTTCGTAGACTCCATCGACATCAACGAAATTGTCGCTCAGTCGCTGGTCGGGATCTTTTCCTTGGCTGCTGATGCTGGTAGAATAAGCGGTTGATTGGGGATATTCGCTATGCTGCACGTTAGCGAAATGATTCACAGTGTATGACTGGTGGTTTCCGCTAAACGGTTTCTTGAAAGACACTTCTGATCCCTGCTGAGCTGTTAATGGAACGACGTTTTCAAAACCTGGAGTTTTCTGAGTTGTAGATGCTGAAGCTTCCTGCTGAAGACTTGTGGACTCTGGTACGCTGATATGAGGCGAGCGGAGCTGTCCCTGGTGAATGCTTGAATGGAATGGATTCAGCTGTGATGGCTGATCCTGATGCTGCGGAGATCCGTGATGCAGTGGCGGGTTCTGGTTGCCGTTGAAGCTGCTGGTTTCTCTCTGGGGAGGAAGTTGTCCGGGGAGAGAGAACACCGGTCTCACAGCACCTCGACTGTGCTGTCTCTGGTGGTTTCCCGGCGGCGGCGACTGATGGAACCCTCTCGGAGGATGGAGAGACACAGGACCGGGATGGTTCCTCTGGGTTCCTCGCTGTGGTCGACGGACCAAGGGACGAGATCTAGAACTAAACGGGTTGCGGAATCCTAGACGAAACCGGCGGGCATCGCGGCTCGACTCCGCCAGCTCCGACTTGCCCTCAACGTCCTCAAAGACTTCGTCACCCATGTCGCGGTGAATCATGTGCGGCACACCATCAAAGTAGCGATGAATGACGGGGTGTACCTCACGCGGCTCGCTCTTTTTGTCCTCTCTCGAATTGATCCCTGATTCGGATCTGGAGTCGATCTCTGCTACAGATTGCGGCAAAGCGTTTGCGTCCTCGCTGACGGAAATGTTGCGTTTTGTGCGATTGTGCAAAAGCTCTTTGTCGGTTTCGTTGAGGTTGATGATGTCCGCTTCCTGCTCAACAGTTGGAGGATCGACTGCTTCTCTGGCCATAGCGGTTACTTCCTGATAGCGACTTTTATGGGGCATTGTGTCGGAAGCATCGTCGTGCTCACTGAACTTGTGAACATCATCACTCTCATGTGCGGGATCTTGCGGTCCGTGACTTTGGAACGGGTTGGATATTTTATCAAACATTTCGTTGACACGAATATCATACTGGCTGTCTGGGCTCCTGAAGTCGTTTTGAGTGACTTGGTGTTGTTCTTGTCCCCTGGTAAAGAACGCACCATCGTTCGATTGCTGCTTTTTGTGGCCTTGATGGTTATTTCCCTTTACAATCTTCTCATTACGCTGATCGAAGAATGAATCGCCATTAAAGATATGATCGGGAATGTGAAAATCGCCAAATGTTTTGCCTTCGTTCTCGCCGTTTTTCTGCTGGATGTACTTAAACTGTCCTTTAAAAGCCGGAGGCTCTTGGATGAATTCATCAAAACCACTGGGTCGCTTTAATGGCTCACGCTTAGAGGGTTCTCCTTTGCCATGACCGCCGAAATTATGTTCAGCTGGCCCTCCCAATCCCTCATATTTCTTCTGATATTTCATGGGTTTCGAGTTTATCTTGAAATGCTTCTGGTTGTTCCCAGTGTCAAAGCTGTAGTCTTTGAAGTTGTTGAAGCCACCTTTTCCTCCGTATCCTTTCTCAGCGTATCTACTTGGTGACTCAGGCTCACTAAACGCCTCTTCAGTTCTTTGGTTGATCATGTCCAACAAGCTCTGTGCCTTTCCACCGCTCGAGAAGTCCTCAAAGTCATCTTTTCTATCAACACCGGGAGGTTTTGCAACACCGTATCTGAAGGTGTTCCCCTCTGACACTGGCCGCCGGAGACTGCCTCTGTGGTGACCACCCTGTCCTGGGTCGCTCCTTCGGCGGTACGTGCCGCTCATTTTCGGGCTGTACACGGCGTACTCGTCAATGGGATCCTCTGAGTGGCCGTTGGAGCCTCGTCCGGGACCGCCGTACCCCCCGCCGTGCCCGCCATGGTCGTACCCGCCGTCAGAACCGTGACCGTACTCATCATGAGAACCGTGACCGTACTCATCATGTCCACTGTATCCGCCGTGTCCACGGCCGTAATCGTCACCATGGCTGTCTCCCCCATACCCGTAGTTGTTCCCGCCACCACCGTAGTGGTTTTCGTCACCCTCGTAGTGGTTTCTACCGCCGCCATACCCGTGGTCGTCACCGTCGTAGTCGTTTCTTCCGTCACCGCCGCCATTGTAGTGGCTATCACCAGTGGTGTAGGAGGTTATGTCATCGTTGTGGTTCCTTCCACCGTCGTGGTTTCTACTACCTCCGTAACCATCACCGCCGCCGTAGTTGTAACCATCGTCGTAGTTGTTTCCACCACCATCATAGCGGCCACCGCCTCCACCGTAGTGATCGTCGCCACCTCGGTAGTTGTTTCGTCCGTCTCCGTGGTAGTTTCCCCCACCGCTGTGGTAGGTTCCGCCGCTGTAGTGGCCCCCACCGTAGGGTGTTTCCGAGTGGTAGCTGACAGAGTCTGAGTCGCCGCCCTTGTGGTTGTATTGGTGGTGGCCCTCGTCGTTGTACCTGGCGTAGAGAACAAACTCTCAATTACGAAGCTCTCAGTGTTAAGGGGGGGGGGGGTAGAAATGTTATATTAAAATCCTTTCGATTATCATTTTATTATTGTCATTTAAAGCCAATGAAAATTGCAACGAGAAGATAATCAAACATCAGCAAAGGATGCAGCCCACTTGGGCTTTCCACTTGTGTTGCAATAGCATGATGCATAGCATGAGGCAATTATTGATGAATCCAGCGATAGGAATTAGGAAAAACAGACCGCATCAGCCTCCGAGCTGAGCTGTCTGACCACAGGACACGCCCGTTCGGACTGACCTGTTGGAGTCTCCCTTCTCGGGAGCGTCATAGCGACTGTCATAGCTGGAGCCCTTGGTGGGCGACTGGTAGTGGTTGTTCCAGGATGTGCCGTAGCTCTGTGAGTGGCCGTCACCGTACTGGCGGCCCGAGGCCGGCTCACTTCCGGTGACGGCACCGGAACCGGAAGTGGTACCGGAAGTGGAACCGGGAGTTGATCCCGACTCGGAAGCGTAACCGGACGAGTCATTGCCGTTTGTCTGGAAACGAGTGATATTGTCACTATGAATAGAAGTAGAGCAACAGATCTAAATTGGACATAAGCAAGGAACACGCTATCTTTCATAACCCTCGCCCGTATTGGTGTTTTTCCAGCCGCGAACGTATAAGGGGGGGGGGGGGGGTCCGTTGGACCCCCCCTTGCCGTTTCGCCCCTGATCGAGCTAGAGCTTGGCGGAAAAAAACGAGCGTGTTGCCCGTGACGAGAGGAAGCCGATGATACCTAATTTTAAGGTCCTAGGTCATTGGTTGACCTTGCAGGTCAGGTCAATGACCCAAATGTCGGGAAAATCGGGACCTGTTAGAACGTCGTAAAATGTGGCTGCTATGGGGTTTTTCGGGGCGCTGATCACGAATATCATGTTAGTTTTGATCACAGATGATGTCTTTATGCATTTAGTCCAGGTCGGGTCAGGTCAGGTCAGGTCAACCAGTAGGGGTCCTGCTGGGTATTCCTAGTAAGTATCAACCGCCTCTGACAGCTTCGTAACATGTTACGAAGGTACCAAAACTACTTCGTAAACGTTCATATGGTTGCTAAATTCGAATTCAGCTCCAAAAACTGGCCTAGAAACATGTAAAACTCGAAAAAGTGAACCGAGGTCACCAAAGGTCAATGACCTGACCTGACCTTCAGGTGACCTTGACACCCACCCTAATGCATGGGGGCAACATCATATCACATGTTTGAACGCTTGAAACCACGAAAAGACTGCAGACGCGCGGCTAATGCGAGCCGACATACGCCGAATCGCGATTCCGGCCAAACATGGTCTCGAAAAGTAGGTCACAAGTCAAAGGTCTTTGGGGTCAGGGTCATGAAATTTTCAGGGTAGGTGTAAAATTGATTAACGCGAGGGTACTGAAAGTTTCGTCGCGATCGGCCTCTTTTTACGCGAGTTATTCGCGAAAAACCATGGGGGGGGGGTCCGTTCGACCCCCCCCCCCCCTATACGGGCGAGGGATAAAGCCTTGGTCATATAGTGCCGGCATGAGTACCGAGGGCGAACCACGAGCGACAATTTGTGTAATATATATCACCACTCCCTTCCCGAAGAAACGAAATTAAGTCGCCTTTAACATTCCGTAATTATTATAAACATAACATATAAATGTGCTTTAAGTAAAATAGAAATGAAATCACCAAAATGTGACATTTTGATCTAAATAAATTGGAAAAATAGGGAGAGTGGATGAAATCGCTGTTGCTTTCAATTTTGCGTATTTAATTAGGATGCACTTTTGGCATGTCGTGTACCGGTATTCAAGCAATAGGTATTCATTCAGCATTATGCGTTTGAAATGAGTTCCACTGTACGTTAAAAATACACCTCCGACATGATCAATGATCATGCACGACTGACTCACGCAGATCATGTGATAGCACGTGCTGTCCTTCGGTGGAGTACCGCAACATGGCGCGATTTAAACTTACGCTGACTCATATACATACATAGTTGCATATATCAATTATCACTCTCGTTCAAGTGTGATTATGACTTATGATGCATCGCTTGCACGTCATCAAATGCAGACTGGGTCGCATGATAATATGGATAACGCAATGCGGGACTTTTGGAGTGCAATTGAAGGGTAAGTGGGGATTTTATTTATCACGGTGATTGGTGCGAGGGCTTATGTGAGGCTGATTTGGATCTACTTGTTGAGCTCATTGAAAACGATTTAGCTCTAACAAGTCGCTATACCTTCACGGGGATACATTATGTAAGTGAAACTAATCTATGCATTTTGACGCACACTTTATACTGATTGTTACAAAAACAGCTTTTGGGCGAGAGGGACAATTTGATGTGCATTTTTAGCAAGAGGCTGGTCAATCGGACCAACGTAAAACGTGAAGCGTGCGTAACCTACAAATTTCAAGGAGCATATTCTTTGTCTGGCGCAACCCAGTCCAGCTTACCTGAGAGAATCGTCGACCACCTAGTCCCGGCGTGCCGTCCGCACGAAAAGCTTCCTCTAGGTTCGCCGGAAACCGAAACGGAGTGGTGCCAGCCGGCGAGCTGCCAGCTGACTCGGTTGCCGTGGCAACGGCTGCCACTAGCAGCAGTGACGACAGACGGCGAACACACTGCTGAAAAACGCATTTTATATTGGTCACTTGGGATGGGGTCTCAATTAAGGGCTCTTGACAAGACGGGTCATATTGTGTTTGCATGGTCTGCATCTTTTCATATAGTATTGTGTAAATGGATATTTTCATGTTGTATGCTGTAAATATAACGGCATTGGTAGTTTACGTATCTTTTTTTGAAAAGTTGGATCCTAGTTGCTTAAAATAACAAATCTATAACCCCTATTTCGCAAGCAAACATTAGAATGATGACATTATTACAATTAGTGATGTCAATTACGGAAAATCTTGATACCGATACCAAACCAAATGCCAGCAATAACCACGGAAGAATACCGAAACTGAAGTGAACCAACTTGGTAAACTCAGGAAAATACCAACTTTTTACCAAATTCACAACCTCTTTTATATTAGGAATGATTCACAATACCAACAAAATACCAAATGCATTAGCCTTGAAATACCAAATACCAAGATGGTATCGGTTTGGTATCGGTATACCAAAAGCTTGGTATCTGATTGACATCTCTAATTACAATCGAGTAACCGATTGACACACTAGTTGTTGACGGGGTCGATATTCATTCATGATTAGAGCGAACATTTTACCTATTTGTACATATAACCAAAGCTCATCTGAATTGAACAATTTGGCCACTCACGTCTGGTCACATTGGGGGGGGGGGGGCATGAGTCTTCCCTAAGAAACAGATGCTAAGATAGGTTCTGCGCTAGGAAAGCGAGACGGGAGACCGGACATTGAGTCGATTAGGTATGTCAGTGGTGGTAGATGACCCCACAAACAGCATAGTTTGCGGCTACAGCGATGGCGCGTGCTTGCATTCATGTTTACGATTTTCGTGCACTTTTGTGCATCCGCAAGCTTATCTTGATGTTGAACACAAATAAAGTACGATCATAAGCAGGTACGTACGCTTTCCTATGGCTAATGTCGGTTACAGTGTCTAGCCCGGAGAGCATGGCATCGTGTGTGACGGTACGTCTTAATTCAAAACAACGCTGTTTTGTTATTCAAGCAGGGAGACATATCCCGTTTTGCAAGTTGCAACTAAGGATATTTAGGGGATTTCTGTAAGATATGCAGTCCAGAGCTTACACCGAGTCTTGACACTGCCCTGGAGCTGAGCTTTGGTTTGGCAAAGAAGCTTAAAAGTGGCATGAATATGTATGGATATCTAGCAAACAGTGTGCAATGGAGCCTGACCTTTCTTCTGTGTAGGGGAGAGTGGGGCAAAGCGGCCACCCGGGGCAAAGCGGCCACCCATCGTTTTAGCCCCTCATAGCTGGCGTCAGTTTCAATTTATGGTTTCCAATTATACTTCTCTTCACGGTCGTTCGAATGAGCCAGACCGGGGTTTCAGGCCCATCACCATTGTTCTGTGAAACGCGGAAAAGCATTTCTTGCCAGGTTACCAACTATGTTAACAATTTTTAAATGTTATGTTATTCCATAACCGTTCGGAATTTTTATAAGCGTTCTTGTCCATGCATTGCATGGTTATCGTACATGTATTCTACCAATTTTAATGTTCTTTACCCCACTAATAGCTAAGCTGGAATATTTTTGTCTCGGACGGTATGCGCGGGGCAAAGTGGCCGGGGCAAAGTGGCCACCCCCCAATTGGCCATAAGTTGCTCCCATCTGGATAAAAAACATTATTTATATTCAAATGTGTCGTCATGCATTCATCTTGGCCACTTTTCAGTTGCATGAGTTACCAAATAATGCAATTAAATGTTTATTTTCATGAAAATCCTTTCTTTGTTTACCTACAGGTGGAAGATGATAAAGTAAACATCCATCCTCGCTTAACCTTGTCACCATCAAATACCCTAGTCGTACACAAGGCAACTATTTTGTTTCTCATATCGGGACTTGAGAAAACGCCGGTGGCCGCTTTGCCCCAGGGTATGGGGCAAAGTGGCCAATATGCATAGGTTTAAAGTTTGGTCAACATCTTTCATATGTGAACGCCTTTGGAAATAAAACGCAGCTGAAATAAAAGGCAACTTAATAGGGATCACATTGGTATAGAAAGAATCTTTCCAAGTTTAAAAATCAAGCGTTGGCATCGTGAGAAGCGTTAGGGTGGCCGCTTTGCCCCACTCTCCCCTACCTACACCAGGAACTGGTATTCCAGAGTCTTCACTGCCACTGTATGGTCTCTCTCCCTCTCTCTCTCTCTCTCTCTCTCTCTCTCTCTCTCTCTCTCTCTCTCTCTCTCTCTCTCTCTGTCTCTCTGTCTCTGTCTCTGTCTCTGTCTCTCCCTCTCTCTCTCTCTCTCTCTCTCTCTCTCTCTCTCTCTCTCTCTCTCTCTCTCTCTCCATCCCTGCTCTGCCCCTACTCTCCCTCCTTCCTTTCCCCACTATCACCAATAGCCACTCACCTTCATTTGCTCTTTGTGTTGCACCGTCCAGCAGCTACCAACAACCTACGGTCACCCTCTCCTTCAGCGCACCTTCACACTCCTTCACTCACTGTCCGCTGCTCTCCTACGTGACTCTGCCGTCATAGGCGTCACTGCTCTACTGGCCTCGACGCGCCCGTGTCACTATTTAAGGGTTTCCCCGACCCGGTCGGTTGGCTGCTTCACTAATCTCCGGTGTCGCGAGACCCATCGTCATCGACGCACGTGCGACGCGCGTGCGAGCGCCGGAAATCGAGCGTTGACCGAGGCTCCGGCGTGTCGTCGGCGTCGGCGATCCGGGGCGTAGAGTGAGCCAGGCAGACACGATCAGAGCTATCGTGATCAGAGCTTTCGTCAGC